AACGAAGCTCGGAGAAAGTTTGCAGTGATTTCTCGTATATAAGATGCTTTTATATAAATTTGCAACCGTGTTTAAAAAGTCCCTGGAACTGGGAAGAGTAGCTCGATTTTATTCGAGGAGGAGTGGTCAAATTCCAATGATGGAGGAATTTTGCTGCGAGATGATCGATGCTTTGTCCAAAAATTCGCAGATTTTTGAAAAACCTTTCAAAATCCGGAAAAAAATTGGTTGGGTTAAACGAAGGTGGTCGGTTTTCTATGATGAGCAGAGTTACGTGTAAAAACGTTTTGTTATTGGGTAAAATAGCAGCGGACATAGCTTACGTTTAGCCCATCGCCTAAAAAGTTTTTACCGTTAGGTGGACGAAGAATGAAATTTCGTCTTGCTTTTCAAAAAGGCTCACGAATCTGGGTCCGGGAACTTCTCCCCTAACACGGCGTCGCAAACGCCGCACCCGCCGCTTACCGCAGAATAGCGATGGAAGATTGGAGCGCGCAATTTGTGAGGTAGGGAGTCCTTTAATTGTTTGAATTGGCTGGCCGCTCTTTTCAATTCCAATGCGGTCTTGATCGTCGTTTAAATAGGAAGAGCCATTTCAATCAATCAAGTCTAATAAACATGAAAACCAAAAAGAAACAGAACAAAAAACGATCAAATTCAATGAAAAAGCAAGTTAATCAACGAAAAATATCGCGTCCCATCGATTGGCGGGAGGCGGGGTGAGTACGGTAATTGCAGTGACATTTGCCGCATGCCGCAAGGGAGAATGCCGCGATAGGGGAGAAGTTCCGTTACCCCACGAATCCAGAAGAAGTGGTTGAGGGCTTCCGAAGGAACGTGGTCAACCTTCCGTTGTGGGCGCAGCGTTTGCCGTTATGGGCGATGTAATGATTAAAAATTCAGCCCTGCTTAGAAACGTTCTAGGACCATCTCGTTACTTGCTATATATTTATTTATGAAGCGTACACGTTCACCTGTGTGCTCGTTTGCCTGTATCTAAGAAATTTTTCGTTGTCTGAGGAGGTATCTAGAGTGGTTGAGTCAAGTTCGGAATGGGTGAGCTTGGGGAAACGTGAAAAAAGCACATGTGCACTCAGCAGAGCTTCGCACAAGGGACGGGGGGGGGGGGGGGGGGGGGACGGTACGAACGTGCGTCCGAGGGTGCGCGCGGCGAATTGCGCGGCAAAGTTCGTGACGATTTGTACGACTGCGGCGCCGATTTTCGGGGCACAAACTCGAAGTAATGTAGTTTAGTAGGGTCGGATGATCCTCCATATCCACTCCATTTGAAATTTGGGCCCCAATGACAGGCGCCGAACTCGTTCAAACCATTACGAACTTCGCCGCGCAATTTGCCGCGCGCACTCTCGGACGCACATTCGTACACATACCCGGGACCGGGCATGGATGCATAGGTGGTGCGCGATTGGCAGAATTCAAGCCTAAAACCCATGACCCTGTGAAAGTATTTTGTTGTGTAAGCGTTTTCTGAAATCCATACACGGTTATATCTGGTACCAAATATCAAGGCGCCATAAACAGGAATACGAACATTTTACACATTCTTAGGAATTGTGTCCTTATGAGCCATGGGTTAAGTTCCACCTTAGCAATGCTAGGGAAGTGTATTCTATTTGGGCAATTTCGAGCAACTTCTTCTCAGTATGTCTTTTTCGGAGGTTTATTCATAATTTTTATCGTTTTGGGACATATTACAATTATTGTCCTTTTAGGCGGTATTTCGCTCTCTCAATAGAAACGAATATCCTGCAAAGTACAAACTCAGTCGGCTCAGATATCGCCTAAAAGAGGTTTGTTTTTTACGGGTCAACGAGGACTTTCATCAGAAGAATTCGTCACAATTAAATCTCCACTCTATTCTGTAATAAGCACATCTTCCTCTCTTCCGACTAACCTTCGTTCAGTAGTGCAGCAAGTTTTTTGTGAGATTTAAATACTTGCCTACCCGAGCATGACCCAAATGTAGGGTACTACCTCGTTGTAATCAGATGAGACGAGAGTTTTATTCTAACTATTCCGGTGGGTAGCTCTAATTTAGGTCTACTATGACCAGCATTGTTCTTAGGGCAGATCCCATCAGTAATGCTTCAGAACACTTGAATTTCCAGAAGTTTTCAAAATGCACCTCATTGTGAAATGTTGAAATACCATGGTGTATAGTGACCTAGCTCCGAGTGAAATGTGCTAGACTGGGCAATGAGTGTGTGAGGGACTAGTTTAAATTCGCTGATTTAGCCTTGTCTTTTGAGTGAAATCCTCACCTTCACTGGGAATGTATGGTTGAATATCTGGGCGTACACCTAGCTTGCCGGGTCCACGAGGGTGGTCGGTATACCCGTGTGCCGAAGTCTCGGAAAATGCCTATGACCCCGCTGTGCGCTATCGGCACCATGGCTGACTGGTGCAGGTGTTCGCCCGGCAACTTACCCCTCAGCCCTTTTTTTCTTTTCTATTTACTGTCGATAATTATTTCAAGTTCGCGTATGATTTCGCCGGCGTGTCTACAGGGACGTATAAATAAATAAGTTAAAAAATTAATTAACTGATCTATTCCAGTTTTTGAAAGATCTTCCTAGTTTTTCTCTCGATTCCACCGCACCTTTTTTGTTACACTTCAGAGCTGTTCCATTGTTCGTACTTGTCTTTCCGATCAAAGCAGAATACCTGCCAATGTCTTGAAAGGAACTGTTATTGCACAAAGGCTCATGATTCGTCCAGTCGTCACATCGCGTAGGCTTGACAGTACTGTAACCCTTGTATCCTGCTTTTACTACCAGTTACACTACGAAGCGCGCTGCACATGTCCACAAGCGAATATTTTACTCAAGAGAACCATATGTAAAAACATCCCGGTCCCTGCTGCTTCTCCCTGAATTTTGCTTGTGTTTCATTTCCGGAAATCATGCATCAAAGGAGAAATACTCATTGCTTTTGAGCTTCCTAGCTATCATGAACATTTAGATTCGGAATTTACCTACGATTCACCTCAAGGAATTTGCGCATCAGAGATGTAATGGAAAACGTACATCAGCAGAACATTCGATGATACCTGCGTGATACTAACTTACTAACTGATGTTAAATAATAAGAAGTTTTCTCAGCTCACCTCCACTCCTTCCTGAAGACTTGATCACAGGACTTGATCACTCTGTTCCGCAATGCGATGGGTACTTATTTGAGAATCAATATGAACAGTGTCAATGTACTTCCTATTCCATAACAGCTTCCTGTCCGCGTCTAAAGACATTCAACCCTCCTCGTCGCACTTAATGACCTATGCGATCTAGCACACAAAGCGACATACAAACAGGCACACAAAATCAGTGCTTTACACAGGGTGAAGTGTGATACAGAAAACTAACATTAAAAATATTCAAACCAAACTAAATAGGAAACATCTACTCCCATACAATCATTACGCAAATTCTAAACAACATATCACGTCTTGCACTCAGAAACACCACCTTTCAACTTGCAAGCCTCCAACCTCTTTCGGGTGTTTTAGGAATGCGCGCTGTCACCTTCGGCAAAATTTCATCCCACGCTTTTACGAGAGAGCTTTTTTCAGAGAGTCCAAAGACTTGGGTTTGAAAGCGCAGGCTTACTGCTCCAGAATCGGCCATACAGCAAAATCTAAAGGATCGGGGAGTTTGAAGGTCAAAACTCCTTCGTCCAAAGACCCGGAAGCATGGTGTCGCATCATTGCAGTGTCTTCTTTGCGCTGTGAGCTGATACCCAATCCTGCTGGAAGGTTCAGCTGACGTTATTCGCGTTCTTCTCGGCCCAAGGGATCACTGCATCCTCCAGTGTAGAAGCCCATAAGTCGATTTTTTTGTTTGCCCGTCACACTTCATATGGATCACCCTGTATGTGCAGGGGATGGCTGCCCCTCTTCGAAGCCCAACATCTATTTTCCTCATTCCACTAAATACTCCTCAGTTTTCAATTCAAAATAAAAAAAACGCCGCGCTCAGATAAGAATTTTCATTCTATTACACTCTGAAACCAAGCTTTTCTTCGAGAAATTAGTTTGGCATTCTGGCGTTATCATTCATTGGCCTCTACATATACGTAATGGCATGCACTGAAAAGTGTACTTTCTTCTATTTTCATAGCCTGATACAATGGTTTTTATCATGGTTGCATACTGAGACTTTTGAGTTTTCATTCAGACGATGTTCCCTTCCAGCTATCCAGTGGTCAGGGTGCGCCAAGATTTTCTCTCTTTCTATCGTTCAAATCGAAATGAAATTCTTGTGTTCATGCAACATTAGGGAGCAGTGACGCGACATCGTCGACGTGCCTTCGAAGAATTGCGGCAAGTCGAACAAAATGTTACATGTGAAGTAAGGTTTTCAAAATTCTACAAAATCGTCATGTGCAGCTGGGTCTGTCTACATTTCCGCACTCTACTCTCGAAGAGATCTATTGCGCTGAAGGTCCGGCTAATCACGAAAGGATCCCTACCTGTTGTTAGCAGCCTTTGGAGTGAAATGATTACCAACGAGATTGTTTTCATAACTGATCGGGACTTGACGGACTGTTTTCGAGAGTGGAAAGAACTGTTTCTTGGAATTGCATCAGCAGGGATGTCGGTGGTGTAGATATACTAAAAATACGCTCGCAGACATGAATATCGACTCATGAGTTCGATCCGAATCGGACGTGCGATTGAGAAGATTTGGGCCTGCCCCAGCTCTAACAATCTTCAACGTCTACATACCAACGTCAAGCTACGAATAAGGAGAGCTGGAGGCGTTTAATAGAATGTGTTGAGAATTGAACGGTTGCGAAGTCTTTCAATTTGAGAAAGGCTCACAAAGCAGTCGCATGACCGCCATCCGTCCTCTGCACCTACTGAGCTATACGCTTAGTCGTTTTCTGCCTAACTTCACATGAATTTGTTGTAGCATGTTACCGTTTCGTGTAACTGCTAAAAACCGCATTATTTACAGATAACGCCGCATTATGAGCAGATTATGGGATTGATAGCAGAAAAATACCCAGGTATTGTAGTCATTGATAGAAAACCTACTGCAACAATCCAAGTTCTGGACCAAGTCTTACAGGTACGAATGCAATGGCGACGTTTTATCTAATTTTTAAACATTCAGCTTGCAGGATTTCTTTGTACCATCATGGCTGCGCTCAACTTGCCAGTTTGACCGAACATTGTTTTTCAATGGTGAATTTCAACCATACACGGAAGAGTCTCAGACGAAGCTATTGCTAGCAATGGATGACATTAACAAGAAAAGAGGTGTCCGAATTCTCCTTTTCAGAACTTTCATTAGTCTTCTTTACGAGTTTTCTCATTACTGAACTAGCTTGCAAACGATCCATATAAGGTGAAGGCAAACATTCGAAATGGAATTTCTAACTAACACAGCACTTATGCTAAAATGTTGTGCACGTGCTGTCGATGTCATCCAGCCAGAACTCTTCGCTGATGATCAAAGCCAGTACGTTATAAGTATGGCAAAATTTAATATACAAGTTGATTTTCGTGCAACCTCGACAAGTGTAAGAAATCAAAAAACAGGCCACACTTTTCTTCATCATGCTACCACTCGGAATTATGCGTTCACAATAAATTTAGGCCGATAATTTCGATTTAGTAGCATTGAAACGTGTCGAGTTCGAGAAAACAGTTTTGCCATTATATGTAACTGAGTAAGCAAGAACAGGTAGCCGGATATGTGGTGTGTGTAACTGGCCGATTTGAGTGGTGTCCTCGTATGGAAACCCTAGAAAAGCCACTAGATAATTCAGGGAGAAATCTGAACTGATGTGAAAATTTCGCCGGGTATCTCACGCACATCGTGATACTACTTATATGGGTGTGCGCGAATCAACAAAGCTATAGTTTGGAACGATAGTCTGTCGAGACAAGGATAGGTATATGCAATCGGTTTTATGGTTATTGGGACCCGTCACCTGTATTATCGCTAAAGCAAGCCTCATATGTTTCGAAACGTTGCTCGACTATTCCTCCTGCAACTGGCTATACAGTATGGCAAGCACTGAGGAGAGGAGTTAAAAGCCGTCATCCATAAACCACTAGCTACAAAAGTTCGAGAGACAGCTACTCAACCTTTATCATATTGACTTTCTTATTTTCAAATCGAAATTACAGCGGAGGGAGCACGTTGTGTTATTGTGCCGATTGGAAGTCAGGGAGCCGGTAAATCTACTCTCGTCAGACATCTTGTTAACACTAACCTTAGGTAATGCTTGAATATTCCCATTATTTTAAGGTTAGGCTTTGTGCACTTTCAGCGAAGGACACCCGATTTATCTTCTTGACACAGATGTTGGACAAAGCGAGTTTACACCTCCTGGTTGTTTGTCTCTTTGGAAAATGTCTGATCCCATCCTTGGTGAGGCGTTCGTTTTTCTTTGCAATATAAATCAAAGAGAGACGTTTGGGAGAAAGAAAGATTCCTGAGAAGGTTTTAGGGAAGAAAGATTCAATTTCGACCTGACTTGATCACCTAAAACATCTAGCGGATCCTTTTACAGCATCTCCTTCTAAATGCTTTTAATTCTTTCGTTCTTGGCCTTAAGTTTCTTCTCATGGTATATTTAAGATGTTCCGTGCACACATCAGGCGCAAATCTATCCATGTTGTTACTTTTATGGTAACATTACTCCTGCCGACGATGTGGTTAGATACAAGGTATGTTTGGAGGAATGAAGTTATTGGCACTCTCCTGTCATAAAAGCCTTCATTCTGAAAACTGAACTGTGAGCTTGGCATGGTTTTGTCAATTATTATCGTTTTGGCAGATTTTTAGGTGCTCCTCACAGCTTCTTTATGCCTGCATTGTTTTTGTAACAGTGAAAATATTACAAGCTACTTTGCTCTGTTTTATAGTAATGTGAGTTGAATATTATAGAAGTAAAATGATCGGTCATTTAAGGAAATCTTTGATCGTTTACTGAACGAGTTTCAAACCAGAAGCGAGCCAGGATCTCTATTAATAGTCAACACTTTGGGTTGGATAGACGGTAAGTAGTTGTGACGTTTGACTTTTCGCAACAAAAATGCCAACGTCATTTCTGACAGGGTTGGGTAGTCAGATTCTCAGCCATATATTCGATGTCTCTCGACCAACCCTTGCACTCATTTTATCGCAAGATCGAGGGTCGTTCACTGTAAGTTTATTTATCAATTTTGACGGCAACGAATTCTCTGGGTTTACACCCTTCTATTTTCGCTCGTAGAGAATGTCAAGCAGGCTTCTAGTGAAAGAACAGGAATCATGTAACTCTGCTTTGCTTGAAACTGAAAACATTCAAACTCGCTATTGATAAAGAGATCGAGAATTTAGCCTTGATATGTAGTATTAGATAATATAAGTAACCGGACGGTGGATGGAGCGAGTGTGTGTGAGAGGCGCTTGATTTAATAAATCAAAAATAATTGGTAAATTGTGCGAAACCACAAAATCTGTCGCCGTTTGTTGAGCAATTTTATTGGTAGAGCGTTCAGGTTGAAGCATTTATAGAGGGTGGGATTCAAGCTGAATTGGCTCGCGAAGTTGTTTGGTGACAACTGCTAATCAGCTTCGAGATGGAAATGTTGCTCAGTTCAATGATTTTCCGTTGACCCCACAGACCTCAAATTGACACGACAATCATCGCTGATGAACTTAAGGGCTGAAATTGATTGGGTCCTTCAAAAATGAAAATTTTTTCTCGAAACAGAAGTTTCTGAGTCGTCCTCCATGAGTACACTACGATGCTATCGGTCTGTCCCAAAAGTATGGAGTACCCTAGTTCCACCTGATATATCCATAGTGGAAAAATCATTTTTATCCAAACTTCCATCAATAATGAATAATTGCACCACCGCTCATATATATGACATGAGAAACAAAAAGCTTTGCTCTACAGTGCCATCCCAAGTGTACATCATATGTTCGATTTCGGAGAAGACCGAGATCGGACTTCGTCTTTTAGGTCCGGAGTCGGCCTCCTTCAAAACACAAGGTCCACAGCATTCCAAGGGAAAAAGAACGATTTGCCAATTTGGTCAACACCCTTTGCAAAAAGGCACAAATGTCTTACAACGAAAAGGCATAACGGAGGATCTAACCAAGTTTTTAAAAGACGGAAGGGCAGATTCTCCATGCTGCATCCAATTACATCCAGCTGCTGAGTATAAAATGAGGACGCGGTATTCCGAAACCTGTCACGTAATCAAATCGTCTCCCACACTGTGCGCAGGCAGTTTTCCACTAAGCCATGTTTGAATGTGCGCACAAAAAGCCTGAGTTTTTCTTGCAAAGGAACACGTAAATATGACTGCGTTGCCGCTGGCATTTCCTACAGTGCTCGCCGTGAAAACTCGAAAATTCACGCGAATACCGCGAACTCGCGTCTTTTTCGTCTTTTCTCCATAAATCGCTTCAGAATAGAGTAATCGAAGAGCTGATGATACCGTTGAACTCAGCTCGTCGAGCTCTATAAGCTGACTTTTTGAAGTGTTAAAAATGCTTGGTTTTGTTTAGCCTCTATCGTTCCTTTTTTGGTTTGGAGGCTGTGGTTAAGTGCATCTACGGTCGCAGCACTCAACACTCCTCCTTACAGGTTCCATTGAGAATTTGCCATCAATTTGCAGCAAAATAACGGAGCCGATTTTCTGAAGTTTTTCAGACTTTGGAGGGATTTTCCTCCCAGGTCTGAAGAGGTGGCATTGAGGCGCTATAGACAACTCTTTGTTCTCTGTAAGACTGTTATGGTGCACCTTATCATACAAAAATCGCAGTTCTTATTGACGTGGTGAATTCATGTCAGATGTTTACTGTGCATGGCATCTACAAAACGAACACACAGTGATCTATATAAGCATCTCCTGTACTAATTATAGCTCGAAAATCGCTCGGCTACTCATCGACGGTGGCACGCGAGTTACTTGAAGACCCCAACCCCATCTTCTTTCAGTAATTTCTACGGGGCAGCAGCAGTGGCCTTTTCGAAGCGCAGGCTTTTCTCTCCAGTATGGACTATATCCAGCGACCCATCACACTGTGGTCCAGGAAATTCGTAGGAGGATTAGACGCTGGTATAAAATCGCGGACATTTCCTCAGTACCAGTCTTGATCTTTTTCCATTCGTGGGCGAGTACGCCGTAGTTTTAAGACTTTTCCTTAGGGAAATCTTTGACCCTCAGCTGCGTCCTTTCAGAAGAATCCTTGGTAAAGAGGTTTGGATTATATTTTGTGCTTTTCTAGTCTAAAATTTGCGACATCGCTCTGATGGTAGGGATTCTAGCTCAAACCATCAAGAAAGAGGGAAAACGGCTTCGAGAGGGGATCTGACTCTTCTCAGCGGCTTCGGCGGCCGTAGTGTTGAATATTCGTGTACTTTGGCATCTAAACATTTCTTCCACGCTGAACACCCTTTACTCAAAAAAAGTGTGTCAAAGCGCGGGTGCACGCAAGTAGCGCACGGCATTTATTTTATCTCGTCCACTGTTCCTCTATTTTATCTCGTCAACTGTTCCTCGTGAAAAAACTTATAAGGCTTTCCATTCTTATTCGGATACAATCGCATTTCTGGGTAGACTCATCCCATCGTATTAGAATACAAATCAGCAGCCATTTCTCTTGTGTTGCTGCAAGTTCCGCAGCGTACTCCTTCCCAAGCAATTGTACTCGGAAAGGAGGCCGTCGTATGTAGGACAAGACGGCAGTTTTGAGGTTTGTCGTTGAACTGTTTACGCATCGCGATTGAAGAGACTGTCACGTGAGAAATGTTGAAATAGGGAGCGATCCCGGAAAAGGACTCATGAAATGCGCGCAAAGATGGATTGGTTGGTGGATGTATGCGAGGCCACACCGTTTTTGAAATCAGACGAATTAAGAGCACCAACGCAGATGTGTGGGCTGAGGTATATCATAAACATAACGGAAAGTGCAGATTCGGAGAAACCTTCCAAACAAGGAAATTACATTCGTCCGAAAAGTTATTACCATATTTATGGCGCACCCTTTACATATATATTGTTCAATGTATCTGATGCAACCCATTTATTCTTGGAAAACGTGCTTTTTTCTATAAGGTATAGGAGCGAGGATCGAATTTGGAGCATTATCCATACAGTTAGGATAAACTATTGGATGCATTTGTACTTCACCAGCATTGCATTTCAAAACACAGATCCTAATTATGCAGTGTCCATCGCCTTGCGGTTGCATTGATTACGCAACCGCAAAAGCGATGGACTCATCTCAAACTTAATTTTACCTCCTTATTTACAGATCCCGGATTGGGTCCCAATAGTCGTTCACATCACCAACAAGTACTCTTCTTATTACAACCACTTGACTACTCCTGGAAAGTGCGTTTTCATTCATTCAAACGATGATGCTGTTCTTAAATTGATATTGCAGCACAATTAAACCCGCACGTCTTATGTCGTATCAGTTACGGGATCTTGCAATTGTTTCCTACTTTTCATCTGTTCTTCCTCGGCCGGTTCTTTCTGCTATTTGTGACGCAACCCCTTACTGCGTAAAATTCGAGTAGGTTCTTTCCAACTTGAAAGGTTACCAAATGCTCTTTTGTACATTTGCCTTGATATGTGCTTAGGTATACATACATATATAAATATAGATATAAATATACAAATAATATAAATAAGTAGAAACTAATAAAAATAGCAATAAAATTAAAATAGTAGTAAGTATAAACGCTCTTGCAACTTCATGCGTCGTTTTTATGATTCAATGCTGTATATGTATATGCAATTCGTAAAAAGCCTGCTGCAAAGAACCTCGATTTCACAGGAACGATTTTTCATTTTTTCTTTGCCATGAGTGGATGCAAGTTTTTTGTAAATTATCAGATAACCAAAAAGTTCGTGCGGTTTTACAAGTGGACAAATAAATATACAAAAAACGGTTCAACTAAAGTTTGTTCTAAAGAATAGGCTCTTTTAGCAAGAATGACTTTGCCCTATCGTGAAACAAGCTGGTATATTCCATTTCTTCAAAAGTCTTGAGTTTTCAAGCTGAAAATTTAATTTAACTCCTTTTCGAGCTCTGAAACTTTTGAAAGCTTTGGAACTGCCGATTCCTCATGTGATTATCCAGGGCCAAAAACAGAAGATAGTCGCTTGGAGCACGTTCTGGTGGATAAGGAGGATGAGGCAGAATCTCCCATTGTAAACGTGCAAGAGTTTCCCGCGTGATTCTTGCTGTGTGCGGTCTGGCGTTGTCCTGGTGGAATGCTCCACTTAAAAATTCTAAACTTAGAAGCACTTCTTAAACTTATGAGACACACTGGATGATTCTGCATAAAACAAGCTTCGAAGCATATGCAATGTTGCGTCAAAAAAAAGTTTAAAAAGTTGCTTTTTTGCATGGTACTCTAGAATAGAGATTTTCCTCAAAACAAGCTATCCTAGGCTGAGATTAGGAGTTCAACCTTCAAAGTAAATTTTGTAAGTTCGGTATGTAACTTACAAAAAATTTTATGTCGACTCATGGCAAAGAAAAAGAGAAAAATTGTACTCGTGGAATCAAGGTTCTATGCAGCAAGCTTTGTACGAATTGCACATACATATATCAAATACAATATCGAATGATCTAAGTGATGCATGATGTTACAAGAGCGCCTGACATGTAATGCATGAAGGTTTCTTCGCCTCTTGATATTAAAGAAAGCTTTTGGAAATGTCAACGGTGGTGATGTCAAGCTGGAATAATTTTGAGCTGTATTCATATTTGTAGGAGTAATAATTGGATTAGTTCCATCTAAGAGCTTGCAACGTAGTTCAGAAGCTCTAAATGCTCTCAAATACTGTCTTCGTTCAAACTATAAAATCAAACAAATCTTAGTTACACTCACAGTAATACGAATAATAATGATGTAAAATCAAATTTTGAAGAGTAACACGAAATCAGCAGTTGGTAACTTACCTCAGTCATCAAAGCATCGCTAGGGTAGTTGCTTTCACTGCAATAATTAAATACGGTTTCAGGCGCATTACTGTCTGTATTCCGGAGGACTACTCCTACGTTGATGATCGATATTTCTTGGCCACACTGAATGTACAAATTGTTGCATTGTGCTCAAGTTTAGAAGATCAGCCGTTGGTGAATTCGTTTCCACTTTGTATTGATAAATGTCATTTTCAAATGTTTGTCAATTTAGAATACGAGGCGAGTTCTTGGGATTGATGCTCTTCCACTGATATCTGTCATATGCAAAGGATCACCGCTTTTGAAGTGTCATGGCTACGGCACGTTGTTTCTCGAAGTAGTTCAGTCACTCGAGCAGAAGCTTATTTTTTGTTATCTCAGGCATAATAAGAGCTATTGATTTGGACAAGAAGTTGTTCTATGTCATAACCCCTGTTCCACCATCAGAACTTTCGAAGATTAATATATTCGCCAGAGGAACTGACATTATGGTACCTCAAATGCTATTGGAATCCCAGGTACGAAATTTAATTCTAAAACTGACTCCTTTTCTAAAAAGAGTTGAAGATAACACTTCTCATTAATGTCAATCTTTTATAAAAAGGGGTTGAATAACTCATCTTTTGAGGTGTAAATTACAGTACTTGTGAACGCACCGTTATTCAGTTCGTCTCATCTTTTATTTGGAATTGACTACGAAATTTATTCATCATTCCACTTTATTTATATCGTTAACGGTCGGATCGCCCGACTGATGCCGGCTTCCCTGCTTATGGCAGAGTTGTAATAATCGGCTATCCGGCCACTACTTCTTCGATACAAGAAATACTTTTCTGAAGACGAAATTTGACACAGTACTAGTAGGACAGTGCAAGTGGGGTTCAGTATGTGCCGAGCTTATGCCTATGATTAGAATCTCAACCTGTTGCTGTTCATCTTAAAAATAATGACCCATTGAAGGTTCAACTGCTAGACAACCAATGCCCTGAATGGGCTTACAAATGTTCTCGAGCCCTACCAATATCGAATGCCTTTATCAATAAAGCTTCTTTTCTACACGGGTATACCATTAAACGAGAATCCAAGATTATCTGGGTCGCATAGGTCTTGCCAATAATGATATCGAAGCGAAGAGAAACAGTCGTAAAAGCAAAGGCAATGGGTTCAATTGGTGAGTGGATTTTGCTTTCCAAGGCATCTTCCATCGTCATCGTTCCCATCCTGCCTTTACTCCTATGAGGGACTCCCCACCTCCCTCCCCTCTTCCCCTGTGAGCGAAGTCTGGTCTTCCCAGCCACCATAAATGTTCCCATCTTACCGGCTGTACTCCTTCCAACTTTGAACGCTTTAGGTCCACGGGGACAGGAGTTATGACTTTCCGCTCAAACTCCGCAAATTGTCGGTGGGGTCCGGTTCTGCCACCCACCATAGGTGTTCCCATCCTGCCGCCTGTACTCCTACCAAGTATGAACGGTCCACGGGGACAGGAGTTGTGAATTTCCAGCCGGACACACACAGACACTTGCGCGTTATATATAGTAGGGTATTCATACTCATCTGAGTGACCTCCACTAATATCCCACTTTATACAATTCGCTAAGTGTCTGTTGATTTCTCGGTGTGTTTATGTGTGTCTCTAAGTGTGTTTTGGGTGTGTGTGTCGGTGTGTGTGTCCTACCAAAAATTCATAGCTCCTGTTCCCGTGGACCTCGAGGATTCACATTGAGTAGGAGTACGGAGGACAGGATGAGAATACATGTGGCAAGTAGCAGGGTCACAATCCGCCTACAGAGGACGGATTGTGCGCGATAGAAATTTTCAACTACAAATTCATAACTCCTTTTCCGTGGACATAGAGAGTTAAAGGTTTGGCATGAGTCAGAAAGCAAGATGGGAACACTTATAAGGGTGGCAGGGCCGGCCTTCGCCAACAGGGGCGGGGTTTGCGCGGTAAATCTCGACTCCCGTCCCCGCGGACCTAGAGCGTTTAAATTTGGAACGAATGCAGCCGGCAGGAGGGGGACACTTATGATAAGTGACAGGACCAGATTCCGCTCGTGGGAGGCGGGGCTTGCGCGATAGAAATTTTGGACCGGAAATTCATAGCTCCTGTCCGATCGAGGCTTCCAGTTGAAAGCGTAAGCACCGACTTACACTGAATACCATTTGCACTGCCCTGTTAGTTGCGTCAAACTTCGTGGACGGAAAAATATTATTCGTTTCGAAGGAGTGGAGAATAAGCCGATTACTACAATTCTACCGAGGAAGGAGGGAAGCCCGTCATTAGCCGGGCGAACCGACTGATAACACAAATAACACAAGGTATATAAAAAGACTAAAATAAAAATCGAACCAGCCTGATGATGAAGCAGCAGTGACCATCCGCTGCATCATTTCTCATGTGAGAGAGTAAAGAAAGTAAAGAGATGGCTCATAGAATCTTGCCAAGCTCTCCTACGGTGCGCTAGCCTGTAAAATGATAAGCTACACTGTGCTGTGAAAGCATAAGTACACAGTATTGTATAAATTTTATCTAGTCATAGAGGGCTCATTAAAAAGCTACAAAGAATTCACTGAGCGTTTTGCAACAATATTGTACCTTTTTTTTTGGAATGGCCTCTTTTTGCACTCGCTTTGGAAATGAGTCGATCATGGGACGGAGATAGTTACCAAAATTTTCCACTCATTCTTAGCGAAGGGCATTCGTAAAAGAGTAAACGTTGGCATAAAAATTTGCCAAGCCTTTCCTCCACGTAGCCCTCAAGCATAGCCCATATGGTTGAGGTAGAGAGGAAACCTGTCAACCTGCAGCACGAAGAATATCGGTGAATGGTCTCGGCTTCACTGTTGAACAATTTTGGCCTTGTGGGCTAGCGCAATTTGCTGATAAGTCCAGGAATTACTCCAAAAGGGGGAGTTGGTCTATGCCAGTAGCTCGCTCTCTGAGGCTAAAAGCACTATCTTGTACATCGACCACCGCAAGTCATTGTATAGGCCACATAAGCATTTAATTCGCCACTACGATTCTGAATGAAAGCCGAATGCGTAGACGCATCTCTCAGACGGGATTGATCAACGCCCCAGGACTTTATTTCTTTTATCAACCCTCCCTTACATCTGAGGTGCTGGTGGGGTAATCAAGAAGGAACTTCCTAGTGCCACGCCAACCGATTAGAGGTGTCCTTGTACCTCGAACACAAATGTGTTACGAAATTTTCGACTGCTTTCGAAAAAGTCATCAGATCACCATTATTTGGGAATCCCAGGTTATTGGCGGTCGGATGAGTTTTGTCTCAAATGATATCGAAACAAAAAAGCCGTGACACTTCATTGATTACATACCCTGCTGGGTAGCGTTCATAGCCTAATAGCAAGAAATGGCCCAAATTCTCATCTCGTTATGAGAAATGCCTTTGATCGGTCCTATCGCTGCAGTTACTCACTTATGGGATGAAACATATCGAACAGTTAACGTTTGATCGTGAACGCCACAGCCGTTAAGTTTCCAATGGTAAGTGGCCTTGCTTGCTAAGGCCCTTATCAGCTCTTATCAGTTGTTATCAGTCCCGTCATGAGTACCTATGACCACGTCACATACCTATACCACCTATTAAAAAGCCAAGGTTCACTGTTGGCGTGAAGAGGATTGCAAACCTAGTGTCTCTAGCCTTCCAGGCTCTTTGTCAGCCCTTGCCCGCTCGTTATCAGTCCTTGTCACTAAACACCTTCGCTCCCTTCACATCCCACACCGCCTACTAAAGTGCTCTGCTTTTGATATGAAAGACGTTGTAGGCGTGATGGCTCTTTACAGTCTCTAGTAGTTCTTATCAGTCCCTTCACTAAACATCTACGGTCCCTTTTTAGAACCTTCACTAAAGTGCCAAGGCGCTCTAACGCTAGCACGAACGAGGTAGCAGATCCTGCGGCCTCATCTTCTAAGGCTCTTCATCAGCTCCTTTCGACTGTTATCATCTACTATCACCTATCATCTGTTCCCATCGTCACCTGTCACCTGTCGTCCCGTTGATCGTCGACTTCCTCGAGCGGGCTCTAGCATCGTCTCCACTCGTTCCTGTCACGAGCCAGAGTGGTCCAGTGAACCGTCCTCGTCTCAGGGACACAAGTTTCAACATTCCTTTTGTTCAGAGCTTTCGTGAAGAAGTCAGACCATCTCGTTGGCGGCCGTCCTAGAGTTCGTTTGATGTCCCGAGGGATCCAATCAGTAACCGCCCTGGTCCAACGGTCATCACTATATCGCATAACGTGTCCGGCCCAGCTGATACCTGATCTTCGATTTCTTGGCGTAATCAACGGCTTCCCTGATCTTCGTACGATGATGGAGCTCATGACTCCGGATTCCCTTCTGTACTTGCGTGTATAGGGAAATTGCGAGCATCGTCCTTTCCAAAGCGCGTTGAGTAACGCTGACAGCATGCTCATCCTGCTTTCGTAGAGTCCAAGTCTCCGAGGCGTTGTCAAAGCAGGAAGGACAGCAGTGTCGCAAAGGTGAGCGGGGAGCCGGATATTCTTTGTCTTCTTCACTACTCCCTCGATATTCTTAAATTCTCCCCACACGGCGCGTTTCCTTCTGTACATCTCGGGAGCTAGGTTGTTCATCATGTTGACTTACGACCTTAGATACAATAGCTAGAGTAATCGGAGATATTCGTTCTGTTTACATGAAGCAAGCATCAAAATCAACAACCTAGAGCGTTCGAATTCGATGAGAGTGTAGTGCCGCCTGTACTTTTATCAAATTTAAGCGCTCTAGATCCACGGGAACAGGACTTATGAATTTGCGGTCGAGAATTTCTATCGGTCACGCCCCGCTTCCTGTGGGCGGAGTCAGGTCCTGTTACCTGCCATAAGTGCTCCCGTGCTGCCGCCTGTACTATTATCAAATCTTAACGCTCTAGGTCCACATTAACAGGATCTCAGCAGGAACAGAACCAATGGAACGCAGTGTTAGTTGTCGCTTAGGCTCATGCGTTATATTCAAGCGAAAGTGGCGGGTCAGCCGGGTTCCCCATCGTCTTAGGGTAGGAGGGAAATTCACTGTGGGTTGTTAGATGAATGAGAAGGGTAGAGAATGAAGAAAGAGCAATAAATGGGTCAGCCAAACTCCAAATGCTGTGTAGCTAAACATAGTACCATGCCAGTATCAGTCGAAGTCATAGTGTCGAAGTACTCGCTTCATCCCATTCACCTACCCACCAATTCACTGCTTATATAAGAAGGAAATGTGGGGTTGAGCTGGGTTCTCCATGTCACTTCCTTCATCGTAATAGTAAAGTTTAACAGACGATCACACTGACAAAGACACAAATCGACAAACTGGCATACCTACATACCTACAAACCGACACACCAATTACTGCTTTATGAATAACAGAGATTTCTAGAGATTTCTGATCAGCGCAGCTACTTTTTCCACAGAAGCAGTCGCTTTCTTGAGTTGAATGTTTCAGCCAGCTGGTAATGTACTGTATCTCTCGCGACCTGCACTTGCATCGAAGTCTGGGATCATTCCCGATCTCTACAATGGTCTGAAGAATATCAAAACCATGAAGCGGGAATTTTTCCCAGCATCTTCTTAGATCTATACATGAACTGTACTTTTACTTCCCTTGGGCAACTGATCTTTCAACATTGTATAGTATTAACCCTGTTGTTATTGTTATTGTTTTTGTTGTTGTTGTTGTTGTACCTGTCTACATAAAAGTCCACTCAAGTTAAATAGTTTCCACCTCAGATTGTTCCGAACTTAAATTCTTAAAACTACGAATTCAAACTAATTGGTTCCTTCAGACTCTGAGTATGGTTTCTAGACTTCTCCATCAGATGGCGTTTCAACCTGAGCCCAACTTTGGAAACGTCACCTTTTTTATAAGTCATGGTCTTTGCCTTTACGGGGATCGAACTTGCGCTCTTTCTGAGTACTTCAAAACAGGAAGGACCGTAGTGTCGAGAGGGTGAACATGGAGATGGATGGTTTTTGTCTTCTTCGATACTACGAAATCCTGGTCGTGAAGTTATTTTAGAGCTCATGCAGTATCTCTTTGTCTGTCTGTCTGTCCGTCTGTAAGACCTTATGGTTACGCTGTGGGTAGCGATATGGAAAACCCAGCTCTATCCTACATTTCCTTCTTATCGTTCTTGTATTGAGTAGAAATAGCGTTGATGTTCAATGAGTCGGTTTGTCGAGGTTGCACATAACATAAACTTCCCCTACACTCCCAAGGAGAGCGAAGCTGATGATAGTTATTGGGGCTTCGTTTCTCGAACTTCGCAACTCTCCACCCACGAAAAACAGAACAGTCGCGGTGGAGCCCACGTTCTGATACCGTAAAGAACTTTGGAACAACAACGAGGTCATTCATGAAAATCTTTTGATCGGACATGACGTGATCTACTTTATTACGGAACTCTCCAACAGAAGAGTCCCATGTCTTCGCAAAAAGGGCTTCTAGAGCTGAGAATTACCATAGATAGAATGGGACATGACCAACTCGAGTGGTCCAGAATTCTGCTTATTTCATTCCACTGCGTCGGCCCCGACTACAGCCTTTCAGCCATTTTCTGGGACCAAATTGGAACTGAAATGACGACGATGATCTGGAAGGAAGGGTTATCCTTTCCGAACTTTCTAAGTACACACGAAACGCTTCCACCTTTTTCTCTTCGTAGCTTCATGTTAGTGCGTAGGTAACGGCGATTGTTAGAACCATATCTTCCCAATCACATACGTCCAATGCAGGGTGTTGAGCTTCTGTACGAATCTATGGTCACGGCTAAGTACGTATTGACGAGGACATCCACACCGCCGACTCCTCTGCTGTCGCAACTTCCTGCACCAAATGTTGCCACTCAGTACTTTGTATTCCTATTTTGCATCATCAAACTTCGACACTCGCTTCAAAAGCAAGCGTTCATGCATTCAAAGGCAGAGTTCACGATAAAATGGCTTATGAGATATCTCACCAGGAAAAATTCGCGGCCCCCTCGTACACCATATGTGGCGCTTTCAAAGGTCGCACCGTGTGCATCCTTGGGCGAGTTACACCGGCATCTAGAGGCTGCACCAATCGCAAGGAAATACAGATAGATCAAACAATTTGTCGTGACCCATAGTGACAGTAGAACCTGGTTCTTCACAGTTCTGGCTTGATGTAGTCAGGTCTTAGTGCAAATGCAACAGCTGAAATCTCGTTCGAATAAACCTCCCATGTTATTTCCGCCATGGTAATCTCGTCCGACCTCTGTTATCCCTACCTTTGAGAGCATTATTTTTCTCGAAATCGCCGAATTTTCTCGCTTTCTTCGCTACCGATGAACTACCCCACCTACGCCCCGCTTTGTGACTGAAAAGGAAAAGGTGTACCTCAAAATTATTGGGACAGTACCTTCGAAGTACAAATCGCCATCTTAGCCCTACTCTTTTTAGGCAGCCTTTTATGGTTTTGCGGCCTCTCCTGACGGTCCTATCCAACGCCGCCAAATAGCTTCCGCGGATTCAAGGAAATGCAGTTTACTGCATTACTGTTTTTGACATATGGGAACCCAGAAGTAGCTCAATTCTGACGTGGAGGATGTGTGCACAGCTATCCCAGATTGACCGAGAGACTCATTTATTGAAGCCTCCCAGATTATTTCCCCTTTAGAAGGATACAGGCGTCTGGCTGAGCTATTGTGCAAGATACCAACCGCACCCACAGACTCCCCGCACAAGCATGCATGGATACACATGCGAGGATAACAAAGTTGTTAAGCGATCCAGCTAAGCAGGAACTGGGAAATCAATCCCCTGAATCCATCAGAAGTACCGATGACTTTTGGTCCGCAATTTATTTATCTATATGTCACGTCATCGCTTATAACACCGAACATAGAGCAGGCGGAACGAATGCTGGCCGAGTCTGATAGCGCCTGTGGAAAGGTCGGCTTGAGGCTGAACCTAACGAAGACGAAGTTCATGAAAAACGGACTGGTACCTGATCCTCCTTTCACGTTAAACGGGACGAGTATCTCCGAATGCTTTAGCTACACTGGTGTGCAAAACTTAGGGACGAAAACAACTTTCGATTNCTGTACCTCTGCCAGACGACAGAACTGGATGAAATTTATACATTACCAATAGAGGATCATTACGGTATTGCACAGGAAGCAACTGGCAGAAAATCGAAATAGGCGAGCAAATAAGGCATTTTTATTGAAAGGTACCAATTATACATAGTTCCTCACAACTTATCCTAGTACTTCCAACAAAGCGTCGCGGTTCCTAACAGGGTGTGTGATCACCACGGGCAGCAGTAAATGCTCTGCATGCGATCCCATACTTTCCACGAGGTTGGAAATAGTTATTGTGGTCGGGCATTCCATTCCCCTATCAGTGCAATTGGCAAATGCTGGATGGTCAGTGATGCATTTGGACGTGCTGCAATGCCTCTACCCTCAGGTCTGGAGAACGGGCAGGCCACTCCGCTCGCTGGATAACCTTCTGTGTCAAGAGCTCTTCCACCTGGGTTGTTGATGCGTTCGCGCATTGTTATCCACAAAAATGAATTCAGGGCTCACTGTAGCCCTGAAAATATGCAGATTACAGAGGGGTTTCTTTTCACAGAAACGCCGATTGTTAAGAGTCTAACGCTAAAAAATCTGGAGGTCAGTACGGTTACGAGGCATGATGCCTCCCCATACCATAACACCTCGACCACCAGAACGATGAAGTTCCACAACGTTTCTGAGAAACGTGCGTGTCCCCACCTCTGGCAGTGAGGGTGCGTCCAAAATCACTACACAGACTAAACCTGCTCCCATCCGGAAAAGTAAACGGCCCCATTTCTCATCGGTCCGTTCGCCAAGCTCCTTACACCACCCAAAACGGTCTCGCCGATTCGCGAGGGTCAAAGGAACACTACGTAGTGGTCGTCGGACGAAAATATCACAACGGTGCAGTCGTCGTGCCACTTTAGTGCGTGGGATGGCTTGCTTTGCAATCCTGTTAAATGACAGAGCAATCAAAGAACCTGACTGACGTGAATCTCTTCTTGCCTGCTACACGATGTAGTGGTCATGCCTTAATGTAGTTGTTTTTGGTTGATCACCTGCTCTCCTTCATGCAGCAGTATCAGAGGTTCGGGAGAGCATTTAAGAATATCGAGGGAGTAGCGAAGAAGACAAAAAACAGCTGGCTCCGCGCTCACCTTTCCGACATCGCTGTCCTTCCTGCTTTGACGTACGCCTCGGAGACTTGAACTCTACGAAAGCAGGATGAGCATGCTGTCAGCGTTACTCAACGCGCTTTGGAAAGGACGATGCTCGGAATTTCCCTGTAGTGCAGAAGGAAATCCGGAGTTCTGAGCTCCGTTAACGAACGAAGATCAGGGATGCCGTTAATTACGCCAAGAAATCGAAGATCAGGTGGGCCGGACACTTTATGCGATATAGTGATAACCGTTGGACCGCTTACTGACTAGATCTCTCGAGACATCAAACGAACTCCAGGAAGGCCGCCAACGAGATGGTCAGACTTCTTCACGAAAGCTCTGAACGAAAGGAATGTTGAACCTGGTGTCCCTGAAGCGAGGACGATTTACTGGACCACTCTGGCTCGTGACAGGGACGAATGGAAACGTTACTGGCGCCCGCTCGAGGATGTCGATGATCAACGGGACGACAGGTGATACAGGTGATATGCCACGTAGCTTTGTCACTAGCCGGCTGGAGAATTTCATTGAGAGAGAACCCGTAGTGAATGAAATTCGTGGATTCAAAACCTCCAAAAATATACTCACTAGTGAACGCCATAATATTATATTTAATGGGTCTAACAAAGTTTCTTCCTTGTCGGAATTGATTGAATAATGGAGGACGTACAAATTATATCACTGATCGTTGATCATCTATTTTCGGTCAAAGAGTCCACATTTGTCCCATCGCGAGCCCAAACAACGGCCGATCTTCCTTTAAGAGGCGCAAGCAAAACCATTGCTCTTGCCTAGAGCCTGAATAAAGACGTTTCTTCCGTCTCCAGACGGTTGCAGCGTCCCGTTTTGCATTAGTTCACTAACAGTGCTCTGCACTAGCGTATACAGTAGCGCTCAAAAGTATTCGGCCAAGTTTTTTCGGCCGCAACTTTCTACACTGTCCAACACTACTTGACTGTAAAGCAGCCATATCCACATACTAATGGGGAGGCGTTTGTAGACTACGCTGAAAGCAAGTTTGTGACGTTTGCAGTTATTCGGACCTTATGTACGTTTTCCTCCTTTACTGACTGTGTTTGGCATTAGCGCTCGTACACTTCAGACATGGCAAAAAGGAAAGAAATGCTAGAAGCACCAATGTCTGTGTTACTAGTTGGCTTTGATTTCAAGCTCTTTGGAATATTTGGAACATGATCAGATTGCAGGTTAATAGTGGTAAATATTCACACTACACCCATGCTACACATATTGAAATTTCGCATGATGAGATCCAGTAGGAAAGGAGTTACGACATGAAAAGTACGACTGAAGAAGCAATTGGCCGAATACTTCTGAGCACTACTGTGTTTGAAAACGCACAACGTTGGTTTTTGAATGACGCTGACTGCATG